AATTAAATTAAATAAAAATTAATCCTTTAAATGGAAAAGAGAGGAAAGGAAAATTATTATTATTATTTTTTGTTTAAATTACTATGAAATTGACCAAAGTGGGATTAATTCAAGAGCGATTTTCTCAGAAACCGTTAAAGATAACGATTTGAAACAAGAGTACCTTTTTAACGTAAAACAGTTCGGGAAAACGGAATTTGCTGTCCAATTTGTTAAAAAGTCAAAGATGAAAAAGTTACACACGCAAAGTACCAAGGGCCCCCCCGTACCCACCCCAATGGACCTTGTGGAAATAAATGGATTAGTCCATCAAATTGCTCATCAAAATTTAGCTGTGTATACCAAATTTCATTCATTTATCACAACGCGATTGAGAGATATTGCAAAAAAATGATTTCCATTCCTCCCTCTTCAATGGGTCCCTATGCCCTTAGGAAGCATTTCCGGACCCAAGTTCATATGAACTTTTTTACTTAGTTTTGATCATAGAATCGGCCTGTTCAGGGTTGGCAGCTAATTATGAGACACCCTGTATTTGTGGCTCGTTGCTTCATTTAACTTAACAAGTTACAGTAAATTTGCCAATGAATATTAAGTCACTCAAAAACTTCAAGATTGGCCAATAAATTCTGAACCAGTCGGTTCTATTGTCTCCAATTTCTTGGTTAATTTGTTGAAACTAGAAAATTTACAACAATCCTATATAATTTAACCAATAATTTATTGAATAAAGTTTTGATAAATGTAAGACGGATTTAAATTTTAATTTTGGTATTTGATTTTTAATTTGGTGATCTCGAAAAGTTTACGTTTTCAAATGTAGAGGAATTTTAAATTTGAAATATTTATCTATTCAAGAGGTCGAAAATTTTAATTATAAAAAAAATTGATAAAGTCAAATTTTACATATTTGAACGTTATTTTACATAAGGCCTTTCATAAGTAAAGGGCCACAACACGAACCAAAAATGGATTCTAGACGTTAAAATAAGATCATTGTCATACCTTGTGGAAGCTCATATATTTTACCGTTTCCGAGATTTTTGTATTAAAAAAATTCAATACAGAAACTACTTTTTGTCATTTTATGCAGTTGTATCGAATTAGCTGTAAAAGGGGTGAAGATATGTAAATACAATTTATTTAATTTGAACAAGTTGGTGAAGGACTACAACAAAATTAATTAAATTTAATATGACAATTAAGTTACTGTAGTTTTGCAATTATTAATTATGTAATAATACGCCTCGCAACAACTTTTTTTTGTTCGTAACTACATGAACATGCATTTTCTAAATTGGTAGATAGGTGAAGGAATATGCGTTAACCACCGCGTTCCTCCGACCTTGATCCTCTTGATTTCTGTTTCTAAGACGCATTAAATTGTGATTCATTAATGACTACAAGTTTGTTCAATACATACAATATTTTCTTATTAAAAGATTGCCTATTTCTAGAAAGTGGGACGTAATTGTAAAACAGGTCACTGTAGTGGAACTTTTTGCCACAGTTCAGCTTGAGTATTAATAAGATCCTCATAAACCACTCATTTATTGTGGCATCAGAAACAGAAATCAATACAATTCAGGTTGGAGGAACGTACCTTAGTTTAGGCAACCAACATTACGCCATTGGCATTGTCAACTAAAAATCCTTAAATCAGCGTCATTAATATTAACCATCAAAGGTCACACTAGTGCGAATTCGCACCACTTTTTTTTTAACAGCTGGCATTTCTCAGGTAGCAGTTGCCGAGGATTCCCCCCACCACGATAATTCCTTCTATAGCCCAAACTGTCGAGCCGTACCACAGTCTGTTATTGTCGGCCAAACTAGGAAGTCTGAAAAGTCCGATCGGTGCGAATTCACATTATTGTGACTTTAGTGTGGACAAAAGTGTGGCTTTGAATTCATCATATAATCTAGAAATAAAGTGAATTGAAATGCAAATTTCCGATTTGTGTGTCCAATGGACTAAAACATTGTTTATATAAACTTCCGCAAAAAATTAAGGGAGCAAACAAATTTTTCGAATTTTTAGTGATTTTTCAGAATGCTTAGTCTTATTTCTTAGAATGACTGGAAACTAGACATTCGGCGCTTTAAAATGCTTTTTTTAAAACCTTGATACGATCATTTTTAACTGAGACAGCATTCTGAAAAATCACTAAAAATTCGAAAAATTTGTTTGCTCCCTTAATTTTTTGCAGAAGAATAGTTATTGTTAATAATTTTTCAAACATTTTTTTCATTAATAATTTAATTGTAACATGAATTTGTCAATATTTATGGATAATATTGTTTAAATAAATATTTTTATACAAAAGAGTGCAAAATAAATATCAATTTATTAGAACGGAGCCAAAAATCACTTCAAAGAATGCCTATTCGGGATACCAGGAAAAATCGATAATATCATTTTATCAAAAATATAGACTGAACTTCAAAATGAAAATATAGACTTTTAACTTGAGAATCTTTTGTTTACTTTTCTAGCCTTTATTTATTAAAAAAAAACACGAATTTGAAAAGAAAGATATTTTTCGAAAATTTTTGTTTATTGCATTTTTTATTAACAAATTATTTATTTTCAAATAATTACATCATTCGATTTCTCGGAAAATGTTACCCCAGTTTTGATATAAATACGTTGTTTTCGTTAACAAATAAAGAAGACATGAAGGTTCAATGTTGGCAAAAATCCCAATTCGCACTAGTATGACTTTTAAGGTGGCCAACCCCGAGTGTGACCTTTGAGGGTTAATGATTCGTTTACAATGAACGACGACTAACCGTTGTAATCATTCATAAAGCCTCTGTAGATGTTGCACAGTGATATGTCTGACGTAAACTAAAGACCATTTTAGATATTCTCAGCATTGTTATATTTAAAAAAAATATTAGCTTAATTCAATATTTGACTACAACAGACCCCCTACACCATCAATACCAAGTTTCTCGAAAATTTGCTTTTTTGAAGGTTTACATCAAGATATCTTGATTTGGTCAAGGTATCTTGATCTAAACCGGTTTATTTTCACTCAAAGGAGCTGCCCTTGATGTATGGTCTATTTATTTCCTGGCACCTTGTATAAATTACAATTGAACATACAAGGTGTTAGAGTTTTTGTCAGTGGCGGCCCCTAAATAGTAATTTTCTCATGGCACAATTTGATAGTTTGATACATTTATTTTGCATTAGGAATTTTTGAGCAAGTAATAAATTACTGAAATGGATTTTACTAGAAAACGGCTCATGCTATTAAAATCTAACTAGAGTACCTTTTTTATGCAAAATATCATAAATTTTCATATTTTTAGTTCAGGAAGTAGAAAAAATTGCGTACAAAAAAAATTGTCAAATTTGCCCCTTATACCGATTAGGTACATAGCCACACACACAAAAAAGTTGGGTATACTTTTTATGCGACATATATTTTTCGTAGTAATTTGGCCTCCTGAGCATGAATCTGGGGTCAGAATTGGCCCATCACGTCACAATTTTTTCCTAACCTCAAAAAACTTGTGAAAAATAGTGAAAATTGATGAAAATTTACTGGGAAAATTTGGAAAAAAATTATTTCCACATCAAATAGTACATTTTTATGTAAAATACTCTGCTGAATTCAAATCCACTGTCAGAATTGAGCTAGAACGTGTGGTCTAACCTCAAAAAACCGAGCAGGAATCGCTATTTTCAAATTCTGAGCGGATTTTGACCAGATTTTGTATAAAGGGGTTTTTTGGGTCGCTGATTACGAATATGAATTCACATTGTAAAAATTCAAGATGGTTGATCTAATATGGCGGGTGTACTTTTTTGAAATCCACCGATTTCAGTAAAATTTGGCATCATAAGGATTGCTGGTTGATCTCACCTAGTGCTGGCAACTGAAATCGGTTTTTTGGATAGTCGGTTAACCGATTTCGGATAATTCGGATTTTTACGAAATCCGAAAACCGGTTATTTGGTTATTCGATTCTTCAAATATCCGAATATTCAAATAACCGGTTATTCGATAATCTACTTCCTTTTTTTAGACATCGATTTGTCCGATTGCAATTGACCATTTTTTTTTGTTTGGAGATCGATTTCTGCGTAAACAAATTTGACTTCCAGATTTTTGTAAAGACCTATTTTTTTAGACATCAATTTCTCGGGGTCTGTCTTTGTAAAGCACCGATTTTCAGATATCCGGTTTTGACGATTCAAGTAACGGGTTATTCGAATAACCGGTTTTAGCAACTATTCGACTAACCGGTTTGATCTGAAATCGGTTTTTACGGAACCCGGTTAACCGGTTTCACTTTTTTCCGGTTTTGCCAGCACTAATCTCACCTTCATTAATCACACATCTGGAGCCAGATTTTCAGGTGGAATCAAATTTGTAGGCAGAGTCACATTTTTAGATTGAAAGCATAAGCAGATGCAGTGATGTGCTGTGTGGCAGTAATGTGTCCTTTTCCTTGAACTTTAAAATTATTAAGAAATAAAAGCATCTAAATGCCATAGGAAAACTGCATAGTAGTTAAAAAAATTTGATTGGAAAACCATAAGCCCATGCACGACTAAATAAATGAAAGAATAAAGTAGAAACTTTTTTGTCTTGTCCCATGGAAACAAGCACATCACACTACACATCATTACATGTGTAGAGTCCTTAAGTCATTTTTTTAAGCGAAGTGGAATCTTTTACCTTGATTTATGATTTATGTTTTGAAGTTATGTAATAAAAACTGTTTCCTGAATTACCCCTTCAAGGGGCTGTATCTCCCTTAGGGGCCGCCACTGACAAAAACTCCACTAAGGATTTCATCATATTTCGGCATGTTTTACATACTCTCCAATTTTGAGTACTTGTTTCGTTAACACCTGGTATAACTAAGCATTGGGCGTAACGTGCAACCTATAGCCTGATATTTAAGTGACTTATTCGCGTTATGTTTAGATCCTTCATCCTAGACGTTATAAAATTGCATCCGCCTTTCCTTTGTTTCAGTCGGCATCCCGCAAATAAAATGGTGCGGCTCGGAAGGCGACTACAACGTGATGGTGATGGAGCTGCTGGGTCCGTCCCTGGAAGATCTCTTCAACTTCTGCTCGCGCAGGTTCTCCCTGAAGACGGTCCTCCTGCTGGCCGACCAACTCATCTCCAGGACGGACTTCATCCACTCGCGGAACTTCATTCACAGGGACATCAAGCCGGACAACTTCCTCATGGGTCTGGGCAAGAAGGGCAACCTAGTCTACATAATCGACTTCGGCCTGGCGAAGAAGTACAGGGACGGCCGGACGCACCAGCACATACCGTACAAAGAGAATAAAAATTTGACGGGTGAGTAATTAAAGGTGTTTTTATTTACAAATGAAAAAAATTGTACCACGGCGAAAGGGAAACGATGACGACCCACAGTCGTTACTGAAATAACGACCTAAAAAAAAACAATTTGGAAAATCGGAAAGATCTGGAATTATCATGGATTTTCATAAATCTGAAAATATAAAAGTATATATCTGTAATTTTCATAGAATTTTTAAAAATTCCAATTGTAATTGATCTTTATTTACGAGATGCTGTCACTGATTGCTATAAATTTTTTTATTATAATTCTAGAAGAAAAAATTGAGAATCTTAAATTATCAAAATTAAAAATGATTCTTAGATTTTTCAAAAAACGGGGGAATTAGCTAAATTCCAATGTCATCCGTTTATTATATAAATAATAATTTTCAAAAACATCGAGAAAATGTCGGTGCTTATTATTATTATTATTATTATTATTATTATTATTTGTTTTAAATTGTGGTGTACTATGTTTAACTTCAATCAATCAATACATATTTTTTTAGAGTACGCATTTATCAGTATAATTAGTCGAGTTAATTTTAACTTGCTAAAATGATTAATGCCACTTTTCTCAATTAAAATTTCCTTGTTTGTCTATATTGCTCTTTGACAGGATAAATAAAATTTATTAGATTTTGTTTTCTAAAGTTAAAATAAATATGTTTTACTTACTTACATTTTCGCAAACTAAGAAATTTTTCAAATCTGCATGGAAAACATGAAAATATCGGAGAATTTGTGGTCAAAATTTGATATACACCCTGTATTTTCCACTAGGACCCTCGCTCTCTCTCCCTTCTCACCAAAAAATCGCACAAATGGAAGTTTTATAATATTAGAAATATTTATATTTGAAGTAAATCAGATTTATAACGCCGGTTCTGTAACTATTAATCATTAACTGGTACTACCGCGCAAAAATAAATCAGTGCTTGCTTTCAGTCCTAACATCGCCGTGTGACATTTTAATAATCACTTTTATTCGTATTTTTGGTTTGAGTGTTATAGTCTGTTTAGAAATGAAAGAGAGTAATAAAAGCTCATTATGTATGCAAATCGTAAATAAATGTAGTACTGGTGCTTATATTCAATATTTTTATATTATGTATTTTCCGTATAGATAAGGTCCACTTTTAACAAAACTTTGTGCGTTCGGACTGTACTAAATTGTAGCAGGTAGCTAAAATTTAACCCCCGACAATCCGTCTTTGTCTATGCCGCTTCAATTTCTCGGTCCATTTCTCTTATAAGTAAACAATATAAAAACAGCATTTCAAAACATGAGGCTACTTTAAGCATCATAACCGGGTTAAGAGGGTTTTTAGTAATTCAAATAAAATTATTCAATATTATTATCAAAATATTTATTTAAATTTAATGAATAGACTTTTATTCCACACAAAAATATATGTATTTTGAAAATTCAAATTATGGTGAGTAAATGTAGTGTTGTATAAATGTACAATAAAGAAAATAAAAAAGTAGGTATATTAAAATTCATCCTCTGAATATTCTGATGAATTATCTTCGTCTCCTAGATTGATAACGATAGGTTCCACAGTAACGTCAATTAAATTATCGAGTTCCCACATTTTCTCCTCTTCTTTTTGTACATGATGTATACATCTTTGCCAGTTATCTGCAGTTACTCGTTCCAAGGAATTTTTTAACAAAATTTTCACGTCACTTAATTTAAACGTCGTATTATTTCGCGCTACATCTCCTTTTACCTGCGCCCAGACTAATTCGATTGGGTTAAGTTCACAGTGATAAGGTGGTAACCGTAGTACCGTTATTTGGCGATTTGTTGCCATTTCATCGATAACATATTTTTTCTGATCTTTATTAAGATTGACAAGTGTCAAAAGTTCCTTTTTCACCATATTTGTTTCAAAAGAAATGTTTTTTCCGGATAACCATTGAATTATATCGGCTTTCCTCCAAGCAGTCGTAGGCGTCCGCTCGGTCTGCCGTGAATGGTAACTGGCATTATCCATGACAATTACAGACCCCGGAGGAATAAGATCCAACATCTGTGTAAAATACTCTTCGAAAACATCTGCGTTCATGTCTTCGTGATAGTCACCTGTATTTTTAGATTCAAATAAAAGTAAACCGCCATCTACAAAACCACTGGCACTACCTATATGTGTCACTATTAATCTTCGCCCTTTACCTGAAGGTGCCTTGAACCCTGTTGAAAGTCCATCCAAAAATGCTTGTCGAAAACTTTTTACATTTTTATCTTGCCATACTTTTGTTACAGTATATCCCTCGTTGACCCAAGTTTCGTCTAGATAATAAATATTCCTCCCTTCGTCACGGAATTTTCTAATTGATCTTAAGTAGGATCTTCGCCAACAAATAATTTCATCTTTATCGATAAGAACTGACTTCCTGTTCTGCTTTTCCCAGCAAAAATTCAACTCTCGTAAGACGGCCCATAATTTGCTTCTACTGATTTTTGGCAAATCGTTGTCCTCTGAAAGTTCACTTAAAATTTTGTTTAGCGTTGGTATTTCTTTTTTAAAATAAAATGAGTGTACTTTTCTGCGAATGACATTTTTGAAGAAATCATCTATAACGACTTTTGACCTCCCTGTAGATGATTTTGGGGGATTTACAGTATCTTGTTCATTTTTTGTTTCCTTTAAAAGTCTGTAGATAGTCGATTTTCCAATCCCTGTCATTTTGGAACACTTTTCCACGATGTCGTCAACACTGTTGGTAGGATTTTGGTGTTTCAATGCATTAAATACATTTAATATAATAATCTTCTCATTCTGAGACAGCGCACATCTTTTCACGCGTTTAGCAGGTACGTAATCTGATAAGCTCGACATTTTACCCAAACAATATTATATCCACTGGCACAATAGTCACTAAACACAAGTCGAATTTTACTCTACTGCACTAGCACGTCTTCGTATATTCAGCTCTAAGACTGGATTGATCTGTCACAATACACTGGCTCCTGCCCTATGATGTATCCAGTAAAATATACTAATGTACACCCATTACCTGTTAGCATTAGTGTTACCCGATAATTACCTGAAACGAAATATTAGCACGCCCATGGCCGGTTCTTATCTCGGGGTTTTATTACTTTCTTTCATTTCCAAACAGAGTATAGTAGTGATATACATTTTTGCCAAAATGGCACGAAGAACTTGTTTTAGATTTTTACTCATGATCTGTACATTTTCAATAAATAATTTGGAAACAATCTAAGCAAATCTATACAAAAAAGATAAGTCGATCAATAAGCTCCCTTTTGACATTTGAAAGCTCTCAAACTCTGCATACCACGGGTAAATTTGGTTTTGATTTGACATGTACATAACTACTAAAAAGATATTGTACTATTGAGGTTTATATCTGTATTCTGATTAAAACAAGAAATAATATTGTTATTTTTTTGCTAATTCTGGAGAAACTTAATGTTTTAGCAACATCACTGTTGTACCCTATAGAAATTTAAATGATACTAGCAGTAGTTATTTTTCCAAGAGGTTTTCAATAACTCTGAAAGGAGTATCTATAGGAATCTCTGATATCCCATATCTGTTTCGGCAATATTACGGAATTCTTTATTATTAGATTAAAAATGTGCATTTTAAATAATGCTACGTTTTTTGAAGACGTCATAGTTAATTTTATGGACTGAGGTACGTTGTAAATATCAAATGCAACTGGTATCAGATTAATTATTTACCTTATCGAATATATCAGAGTTTTTGGTGCCACGGTATAGTATATCTCCATACCCCAACATTCCGTAATTATTTGTGGTGGGGCGCGATAGAATGAGAGCGACCCAACTAGTGGGGAGTTTAAGTTGTCCTTCATTGTACCTGCCTATGCTATTTGACCTAATTAGAAAAGAGACGGTAAAGACTGAAAGAAAGAAGGATATTTTTGCAATTTTGAGAAATTTATATTGCCATTTCAGATATATAAATTTAAGTATTTTTGTCATTTTTTGGAATCTTCTTTTTCAGTCAGTAGTGTAGAAATTATTTATTTATTTATTTTTTAATTTAGACGTCTCCTATCTCCTCAACATTATTTCTGTTATATGGCCCTCCAAATGTGTTGGTTCATTTTTATCACACTCTGTAAAGCACATTCAGCCTTGTTGCGGGAATTATGTTGGAATAATTTCGATGAGCTGTGTGCTGTGTGTCATACCTTTGAACCGGATTTAGTGCGTTTCAATAGTCGATGAAACCTATATGCGAAATAAAATTACCTACGTCTCCGGACAAGGTGTATCGTAATAAGTATTTGTCAGTGTATTTATAAACTCGGACTATATTGTTTCTGAAATTTGAAAGTCAAATTAGGTTTTCCCTTGCGCTGTAACCGGATGTTTTAAAAGACTTGTTTATGGTGATTTTTTCATGTTTTATAGTGCTCATTAAACATACAAAGAATTTTGATAATTGCAATATTTTTTTAATATGTACTTCGAAAATTATTATTATTATTAGTGGATATTATTTAATTTCCAAACACCCTGTATATTTTGATTTATTAAATTAATTAAACTCGTTAAATCTGTTGCCTACAAACTTAATAATTTCGCAATACAGGGTGTCCCGAAATTAGGGGGCAATATTTCTACAGGGTGTTTCTATGTCGAAAAAGTTATAGCCACTTAAAGGGACCACTCTGATGATGTTTTTTTCTAAATAACTCCGAAACAAGTTGAGATAAATTTATGAAATTTGGTAACTAGCTTAACTCTTACGTGCTCAGTCTGCTACTAAATTTACAAATTTTCATCACATACGTTCCAACACTGGGGGAAGGGGGTAAAATTTACCATAACTTTTTTATGCTTTCAAGTTGATACCTAATTTTCTTCAAGTGAGTAAAATTTTTTTGTTGGTTGTATTTCTTATGTATTTCTGCGATTATCTGGTAAATGTTAGGTTGATACATTATTTTCTTGAAGTGAAGTTTAATTTTTAATTAGATTCACT